GTGTCTGACCTGGAGGACTCCCAGTGCTCCTGCGGGCGAAGTTGTGCGGAGCGGGGGTTCCTCAGGAAGAAGGCCTCTCCGGCCAACTTCAGACTCTGGCACGAGAGGGTGCCCTGTGTGCTGGGACATGCGAGCACGCGCGCGTCTGTGCCGGCCTCACCTGAGGACAGGAGCTTGTGTGTGCGCAGGAAGCTGATGGCCAGCCGCATGATGGAGGCCTTGTCCAGGTGGGCGCTCACGCTGTGAGGCAGGGGCAGCTCGTGGGCCAGCTCGTAGAAGACCTCTGTCTCCTTGCTTCGCCGGCACCTGGCAGCATCTCGGGACTTCTCCTTCCTCCTCTCCGAGCTGCTCCTGAAGTGGACAGAGAAGGGGGTTTAGTCACAGTCAGCCTGCTCCAGTGAGAAGGGACTCCAAGGGACTGTGTTCCGGGCCTTGGAAGTTTCGCGCCTTCGACAGGATGCTGTCCCCTCGGATTTCCACCACGCATGGGGGAGTCTTCCCCGTCCCCTTTTCTGGTTCTGGCATTCCAAGTCTTACTGTATATCCCTGATTAAGAGACCCCCTAAAGAGATTCCTGGATCTAAGTCCAAGCCCAAACTTGGGAAGGTGAAGGTGGCCTTCAGACGCCCGCTACATCAGGGATAAGTTTAGAAGTCAGATTGCCTGGGCTGGAATTCTAACTTTTCTGCTTGCTCGTTCTTCCTTGTTCTGTAGACCTAAACTACTGAAACCGCTCGGCATCGTGTTCTTCATCTGTAAAATTCTGATAACAGTGCCCACGCCACAGAGTTATTGTGGGGCTTAAAGGAGGCCATTTAAATAAAACCCTTAGCACCAGGCCTATCCTAACTATAAGCAATTGATGTCTGCTAGGTCATATATCTTTTTAATTGGTCCATGGAAAATTCATCATGAAAGTTAAAAAAAGGTATAAGATACAGTATAACCCTATTGTGATACTATTATATAAATGGTAATCCTTATACATTATAGAAGAACATGTCTAGAAACACCACAACCGTGATGATCACATCATCATTATCCTATATGAGGATGGTAAAACAGTATCCCTACAAAATGGAGATATCTGCATTAAATAAGAAGACGCCAAAATGTGAAGCTACAGTTTTCTGACTTATGCTCCATGAAGGTCTATGCAGGTAACCCTTCTCTGAAGAATTACGCTCTTACCTTGAGACCAGATTTAAATGGTGGTTGGGCATCCCTGAGGGCTCAAACCGTGTTCTGGTTCAATGTTCTGTGAGTTTGAGAAACAGCAAGACGTCTGAAGGGGCACTCTTAGGGCTGTGGAGTGGATGAGGCAGAGTATCCCAAGGGCATTCTCAGAGGACAGTCCTTACCACCTTTGAAAGATGAGTAGGTGCATCTCTGGTATGGTGGGGGCAGGGAGGGGAGGGGGTGGGATTCCTCAGCACAACTTTCCCGTCTTCTCACCAATGTGATTGTTAATTTTCTTAATATTTCCTCCTAAGTCATCCCCAAGATTTCCTGTGCCCTTTGAGAAAAATCTATCCAGATGATCCCTGTTGGAATTCCCCAAGCAGTCACCATACCTTCTGAGCTGACCTCTCTGCTTTTAAATACAATGGGTCCAGCACATCCCCTCCGATGTCACCGTTTTGATGGACTCTCTTTTGCAGCCATCCTGACGAGACGAGAAGGCCGCTTGTTTACCTTCAAGCCTTTAAGACCCCAGATGCTGTATCTTTTGATAGCCGGGCACCATCAGCTTTCTTGGCCAGCACTAGATTTCTAAGACATCAGCAAAACCTAAAACCGGATCACTGCCATTGAGTCGAAGCTGATTCACAACAAGCCCTTCGTGGGTTTCCGAGACTGTAACTGCTTATGGGACTAGAAATCCCATCTCTCTCCCGGCGTGGCTAGTGCAGTGCTTCGTTTTGAAAACAGAACACTCAGCTCCCTGGATGGAGGAAGTATCCTATACTCGGACTGCAGGAAGAATTTCCCAACAGCTGTTGGTAGTCAGGAAGAACCTTCAGAAATATTGTAAAGTGGGCCAAATGGTTTGGTTTACTCCACCTCTCTTTTCTTTCCTTCATCTAATCCCCACTCCTTTCTCTCTCCCAGCAGCCTCAGCTCTATACGCTGATGCCCCACCCTCTCAGGAGCTGCCCTTAAGGAAATTTGGCTGCAGGACCTTTAACCGTGAGTGCCAGCTTGTGTATTTTCACTTTCCATTTGCATTTTACTCCTGACCTCTGATTGTGGAACAGTAGTGACCGGTCATGGTTGGAGGACAGTCTGGAGCAGGAAGGGAACATGAGCAGGGGTCAGGACACCAAAGTTGCACATCGCATGGCTTGGCATGGGCGCCTTCGCCAGCACCGAGACTAACACGCGTGGACAGAAGCATCCCCCCACCCACTCATTGGCATCTACTCCTGTGCTGATTGCTCCAAGAAGAACTTCACACGCAGTCACATTAGGAACCTCCGAACAACACAATAGGGTAGCTCTCGTTTGCGCAGTTGACAGACGTGGGAACCGATCAGACATAACATGGGATGGGCTAAACATCACATTGCCAGTGTCTATATATGTCCTCAGAGGATGCATCCCAGCGACAGGAAATCACACGACACGTGGGCGCTCTCCAATTCCATCCTCATGACCTGACTCTAACTATGAAGTTGGCCTGGCGGGCACGTGTGTCCTTGTACCCCCTTTCCATGGATCTGTAAACTGAGGCCCAACCAGGTTAATGTGCCTGTCAAAAGCATGCCAGCTTTTTCAGGGGCTTAACTAGGTCTAGGAGTGGTACATTTCTCATCCTTTTTACCATATAATTGTGGGGGGAGGAGAGGGACCGCTTTCACAGGGAACAAAGGAAGAGCAGCCTCTTAGTCCTCGTACTTCCAAAAAGAAAGACAGTCGCTCACAGAGGCTTAGTGGCAAAGCCATCACCTGGATTTGAGGGGCCTTGTTCTCAACCTTGTACTCTAGGGCTAGGCTAGCATTACTTTGACAGAGTCAGGAGAGGCCTGTCTAATGATGACTTTTGGAATAGCACACAAAGGTTGGCCATCCCCTGACCAGCAACACCCAAGAACAAGGGGGATTCACACCTGGTGTGAAGATAAGACTTCTCCATACCTGGATGCTTACATAGTCTTGTTCCTCACACTGTTTAGCGTAGGCACTCGGTGAACGGAACCTGGGTTGGGAAGGGAGAGGGCTGGTGCTTTGTGACCTGGATAGGGGATTCTGAATCGGAAAACACGCTCCCTGTGCCTTGAGACCTTATTTTGCCTGGATCCGACGAGGTAACAGTGAAAAGGTTAGAAGTCCTTAAAAGACCTCTTCAAAGGAAAACTAGGGACAACTGATCACAAAGGTCCCATTATCCGGCTAATTGCCTTAGTCACATTCAGACTTTGGCCCTAACAGCTGTACTTCATCACTAAATAAATGGAGTCTTGGGATGGGAGGTGGCCCTGTCAGTCAGGCTGTCCCCGGCCAGTTCACTGGGCCAGGTCACTGAACTTGTCTTCTTTAAGTCCAAGAGGTTCCATTTCCTAAACGAATGCAGGTGACTTTCTCTTCCAGGACCAGCTGCCTGTAAACTGCAGTCGGGTTTCAAATGGCAGTGCGCTGCTGAAGTCAGGGCTTGTCCTCTCTGCTCTGTGAGAATTCCCTGGTTGTCCTTCAATAGAGATCCCTTCCTAAATTCCTGTCATTTTCAGAAAAGGGGCAGAAATGCATGTTGTTCTCCAGCTTTCTTGACTGGACAGTCCAAGTTCCTCCTCCTGGGCTTCCTGACGGTGGGCCTGCTTTCACACAGCCCTTGGCACTGGGGCCCACACCCCGAAGTGTTTGTGGAGCCCCATGCTGGGCCCTGTGGAGAATGGGCAGAGCTCACAACCTTTGTCCTGAAGGTGTCTGCTGTCTAGTTAGGGAGAGCCGGCCATTGGAGACCTCCTGATTAGCGGTCCAAATAATAGAACAGGCGACACACAGGACAAGGGACCATGATAAGCAACGAAATGGTCTGAGCAAACAAGGTCCGGGCAGGCTGGTCAGGAAGGCGGGGCCTGAGCTAAACCTAGAAGGCCCAAGACCTAAACCCTTCCAGTGCTTGAGGGGTCCAGAAGCGGTTTCTAAATAGCTGCTATCTTGTCCAATTCGCACACCAGCGCTGAGAGAGAGAAACGATTAGCCCCGTTGCATAGATAATGGCGTGGAGATTTGGAATGATTAAGTCGCTTGCAAAACTAAGAGTCCCTGTCTCAAACAAGCAGTTCTCCCAAATCAAAGGTTTTCCCCTTGGCAGCGAGGAAACAAACATTTACCGTTCGCCTTTGAAGTGCCTGTGCCGTGTCAGATACGTTCCCACAGACTGGGCGTTCACAGGCACGATGGGAAGAAGAGGAAGGCAAAGATGTGAGGGGGTGGGGAGACACAGTGACCTCAGGATTCCACAGGGAGGGGCTTGTCCTTAAATGAACTCTTGCTCACTCTTGCTTGACCTGGTACCTTAGAAGTAGGATTCAGAACCAAATGTTGGGCAATGAATGTACAAATGCGCTTTACACAACTGATGTGTGTATGGATTGTGATAAGAGTTGTATGAGCCACTAATAAAATGACTTTTTTAAAAAAAAGAACCAAATGTTATTGTTGTTGTTAGCTGCAGTCAAGTTACACACACACACACACACACACACACACACACACACACACACGGATGGCGACTGCCTGGCATAGCGTGATCGAACTGTTGTGATGCACCGGGTTTTCGTTGGCTGACTCTCAGAAGGAGATGGCCAGGATTTTCTTCCTCGTCACTTCCAGGTCCCGGCCCAGTTGAAGTATCCCTTCTCACGGTCGTAATATAACCACTCTCTACTCTTGGCCAAGGTGAGCCTGGGCTCTTTGGCTGACCGCGGCTCAGAACGGGCCTGGAAGATGTCACCAGCTGTACCACTGGGGTTGGTCCCTTACTTAGCTTCAGCTCGTGATGTTTAGCGTATTGGAACTCACTTGCCTCATGCCAGCATATGAGCAGGGCTGAAGGTGACATGGCTTAGCTGCAGAATGGAGTTCAGCAGGTCTAGAGGCGAGACCGGCATCAATGAAGCCAACTGGGGGCAGTCTACTTCGTGGTGGTGAAATGCTGGGCGGGCACCAGTTCACAGGAAGCTGTGAATGGAGGGAGTGAAGGTCAAAGGCAGTTGGCAGGGTTCTGGTGACCCTCCAGTGAGGCAGGGTGGCGGTTGACAAGGGTGGCCTGGTGCGTGAGGCATGCCCAGCTTCAGGCTGCAGACGGCAGAAGAAGCTACCAAGCCGATTCACACTCAAGGCACACC